ATGAATTTTTTTTAATAGTATAATATTTTGTAGGCACATAATAATATCACAAAGTATACTATGCTTCAATCCATCTCTAAACAATATAATAGCAATTTTTCTAAAAGGAACAAAAAGATTATATTAGCATCTATCACTTTCATTCATGAAGTGAAAAGAAACAGCAAGATTTATTTCCACTATTCCTTCAATCTGCACCTAAGATAATATTTGATGTACTTATCTATATAATCTAAGAAAAAAATTATTCTTCTTCAAAAATTTTCCAATTTTCCATGTAATTTGGCTTAATAAACCACAATTACATCTCATTCTTCTATCTTATATAAGTAATGCATTGTGAATATAGAGTTGTGCATAACCTGGATCAATACCTTTTTTTGATAACAACTCTCTTATTAAATATTAAAACTTTCTATTTATTCTAAAATTGAATAGAGCATTTTTTTGAAGCATTCATCAAATTAATGCAGTGCATTATAATGAGGATACAAAACATCCATCCTTCTTAAATTATATATGGCTTCACCACTTGTAACTATTTAGGCTTCTCTTTGTGCTCTCTTATGTTATATATACTATTGTTGAACAATTGTTTTTTGATTCATAGTTAATGCAAGACTATTTATAATAGCATAATTTCTACCAAAAAATTAGAATAAGCTTTTAATTATCAAAATTGCACCTCCATAAAATTTTAATAAAATCTTGTTATTCAAGTATTTTAATAAAATTACATAATATTTATAAAATAAAAATGAGCATATATAGCTTAATTAATCAAACTATAATGCCCTAATACTTTAATAAAAATATTCTATATCTATGCATTTCTATTGATCATGATTATACATATTTTTACAACAACTTGCTACAACAAAAAGCTCAATTTTTCCAAACTGTTACAATTGACAAACCAAAATAAATTAATAAAATTTAAAATTACTTATTTATTTATTTATTTATTTATTTATTTATTAAATAATATTTATTAAATTATATATATATTATACATAAAAATTGATACATATATATATATATACATACATATGAAGTTGAATGTAATAAAATTCATATAAAAATAAGAAATAAAATTCCTAGAGTTAAATTTTTGTATAGTAATTCTTATTATAGTTGAAAATGCTTCTAAAATTCTAATAAAAAAAATTTGCTCAAAGTTTAGGCTCCATTGCCAACTATGAAATCTTTGCTAACATGATCTTTACTCATGGTTGAATTGCTGCCTCCAATCACCAACATTCAAAGAAAAGAAAAGAATAAGCAAATTCAATGAACTTCAATATTGTCTAACTCATTTGAGCATAGCGAGAGTAGAAAGACATTGTAAAATCATAAATTGCATGTGACTAATTACAAAGTTTGGAACTATGGAAAACCAATGCTAATTAACCACTTATCTTAGAGGCGCAACAATTTATAAATTATAAAATCATTTCAGAACCAAATTAATATTTTTATTTGAAATGTCTAAAATTTCTATCAACATAGGAAAGAATTGATAGTATCCTAAAAGTAAATACAATATTCTTAATAGATATTGCTGTTATCACTTTCTAACCCGGGTTGAGTTTATAGATTCTTTTATCTGAGAGCAATGTAGCCAAGTTTTTGAAGTACTTACTACTCCAAGAATGGTGACCTTTCCAAATAATAAGGCTACCACAACCAATGCCATAGCTAAAGCCTCTCACAGAGTCATAGCACCTTCTTCAAATGAGATATTTATTTGCTAATTAATATTTATGATTAAGTATGAATATATTTTTGGTATAAATTATATTAGTGATTGCAGGAATGAAAATAAGGTTGAGATTGTCGCTACTAAAATCACAAACATTAAATGCAAAATTATCCAAAAAAAAAAAAAAAAAAAAAAAAAAAAATCAATCAAGTAATAATAAAATATTACTTGATCATTATGCTATATTCCAAAGTATGTCATCAAAGAAGAGTGATCACAAAATTCAATAAATATTGTCCAACTAGTACTATACATAAATTGATTATTCATAATTTCATGGTCACTTCATCAATCTTTGGAATCTTTTATTATCATTACTATCAATGAGTTCACATGCAAGATGCCTTGATATTTGAGTACATACTTTCATTCTCTACTTCCTATGAATTTTTTCATTATTACTTCTAATTCTTAATGACATATCTTCTTTCTAGACATTATTTTATTCCATCAACATCACCTCCCTAATTTCTCTCACACTCTTTACAAATGGACTTACAAAGTTTTTTTACATCTAGATTGCTATCAAATGGAATTAAGATACCTTTTGCTTGCATAAATGATTCAAGGTTCATGCTGACAAAAATGCTATACCACAAATCATTATGTTTAAAGTCATGGTGTGGTCCACTGTATCTATGTACACTCCAAAATATGTACTTTCAAAATATAATAGAATTAGAGGCATTATCATGTAGTAACATGACTATATAGTAAACAATAAAAGTATGGATGTTATTATAGAAGTGCCTAGGAGAAAGATATAGTAGAAAAATAAAGATAAATGATAGAAAGGTAGTGAAAGATTTAGTCTTAATACTACTTTTTTATAGAAGGGACTTCTATTAACTTTGTAGATATATAAATGAGCCAAATCAAAGTAAATGAGATAAGAAATTGATATAGGTATGTTAAGAAGAGAATTAAAAATAAAATAAAATAAAATAAAACTTATTTCAAATTACCAAAAATTGGTATCCAAAAAGGACCAGTTTTCAACATGGGCTGAAATCAGATCATGAGGTATAAAACTAGGCCCATATAGCAACTTTAGGGCTCTTTTGTAGATCAAAGAATGGAATTTGGGAACAAACTTAAGAAAAAAAAAATTGGGAATTGATTTTATATTAATTGAATCAGTATTGAGTTTTTGAGAGATTTTCAAAATTAATAATGTTCTAAGTTGGTTTAGATTTTGAAAAATAAAAACATAATTACAAATTTGAAATTTTCTTGAGTTTTGTGGTATATATACAAGTAAATTTTAGAAAGTGCATTAGTGTGCTAGTTATAAATGTGTATGCAGATTTTGAGGTCAATCAAATAATTAGATCAAAGTGTGTAAAGAGTTTTGTAGGTTGAGGTCTTAGAAATTAGACTTTGAGGATTAGTGTGTATTTCTAAGATTTTCAGCAATTTGTCAATTGGATTGAAGTGTAAAAACTTTACATGGATATCAGACTTGATTTTCAACATTTAGGTAAAATTTGAAAGAAATTCAATAGTTCAAGAAGGAGATATTGGTGTTAGAAGTTCAGCATTTAAGTTGGAGTAGGAGGCTACTGAATACCCAATTAGATTAGCTTGCATTTCTTTTAATTGATAAGTGCAATCAATTTCATCATTCTTATGCTTGTTTCTAACTAAGATATTAAGATGTGTGCAAATTTTGAGTTGATATCAACAATTTAATCATTAGTTGTTGAGGTTCCAATTTACTATAGGGTTTGGTTTGGGATTTATTTATGATCTAATTAGGACTTAGGATTTGATCTAGGATTAAGATAGGATTAGGATTTTCTTGAGATTTGGTTTAAAACTCGACTAGGGGTTGATTAGGGTTTGTCTAGGATTTAGGATTTTATTAGGATTTTATTAGGGTTGACATAGGATTTGATTAAGATTCAATTAAGACTTCAACTAGGATTTGACCTAAGGTTTGGTTAAGGTTCAATTAGGGTTTCAATTAGGATTACATTAGGATTTATATTTTTAATATTTCTTTAGAATCCTATGTTTTTTCTTTAAAGATTTCTATTTCTAGTATTTCTTTTAGATTATTGTTATTTTTTTAAAGGTTTATTTTATGTTTTTTTTTTTAAGATTTCTTGTTATTTTTCTTTAGAATTAGTTCAAGACTTCTTTATATTTCTTTTATAACTTCTTTTAAATTTATTTTGGATTGATCATAGTTCAATCAAGATTATTAAGGTCTACTTAAAATTATATAAAATTCTATTAAACTTGATAGGATTGTTGTTGCATTTCTACTTACCTTCTACATTTAGATGCTCGATGCATTTTCAAGCAAGAACACACGTAGTACGATACCGTCTCACCCTCAAAATTCTTAGTGAGGTTGATATCTAAGAGATGATCAAAGCACAACATTTGTACATGTATGCAAGAGTGAATCATGGCAATAGGCTATTAAGTCAATAATATTCTTTTAGATGGATGTGCAACAAAAGCTCGAGGACCATAGTATTTTACTTGTGACCCACTCCAAAGCCTCTCCAACTCTAATTGACCTATCAAATTTTTGACAAATTGATGGATAAATATCCACAACGTGCTAAGCTCACTTCGCATGTGAGAGCCACCACTTGTCTCCTTGAGTGATCTTAATATATATAGATACATGACAACTGTAACAATAATTTAGAAAAATAAATCACATTTACACCATTTCTTTTCAAAGAATAAAATCTATTTTGAAAACTATCAAAACTTGTCAATGTTACTGTGAAGGAAATTATACATTTATTGTTGTATGTATACATGTGTATTTACACATATACATCAATCATGTGAACAAAGCATATAGGAAAAACTGTTTTGATAATTTTATTAAGTATAAATTCAGTACACTTCTACCTAGTAGAATTATGTCAATATTTAGTAAAGTTGGTAGTCATTGTATATATTGTTTATATACAAGTAATTAAAAGTTACCATCACATCAAAACAAACACCTACAAATATCACACATAAAATTAGAGTGAAATGTATCATCGAAACCAACAGTTAAAACACTTTGAAGATGTTAGAAATGTAACTGTATCTCCACTTTCCATCATTTCAAACAAGACACAACTTGGAGGGAAGAGTAAAAGTTAATAAGAAACTCATTTCAGAATTGAGAAGATATCCCTATGTTGTTCCTTGGAAGAGTATATTACAGTCGCTACAAATTTAATCCAGCAATTCTGATTATGGACTCGCGATTATTAACAAATTTCGTGTAAACGTCATCATCAAATTATGTTTCCACTATGTACGCATAAAATGGAGCTTCTTACACCTAACCTAGATGCTACCCTACACCATTCCATTTCACTGACCATTCTACCCTACAATATCTCATTTCTAAAACTTCTGTGTAATGAAACTAATACAAGATCGCACAAATACAACATTTAAAAATAAATTTAAGTGAACGCATAGGGAATCAAATGATAACCGAAATACCCTTGAGCTTCCCAACTCTTCAAGGATAAGGTTCCTGGTGGGTACGTGTATACTGAAGGATCTACTCAAAACCTAGTCCGGAGATTTCCAAAATACGACCAAGGTCTCATCACCAGCAATGTGCAAAAACTTATCTTTGTACAAGCCTGCCCGCCATGTCATAATGAGTATGATTACAGGAGAACACCGAGAGGCACTGAGCTGAAATGGTTTGAGGGAAAAAAAGAAAAATAAAAACTCTCTTCAAACTCCATAATTTCAGAACGAGCGTACTGCTACCGACCGCAAGCCTAAAACGGCCACATGAGTAACAAAGTTCAAATAATGGGTGCACGTTGAAGTCTTCAGCTCCATCGTTTACATCAGAAGCTCATGAAGACCCAAATTCGGCTAGCCACTTTTCGTGTCGCTCAATATCTGCAGTAGACACACTTCTAGAGATTTTGCTTAGAGCTTCATCGAAGTCACGCATAGCCACTGGCTCATACATCTCGTCCTTGGTCATGTTTTTAATCTCTTCAGGAGTTTTGCCAGAAATCTTGCGCCGCATACCATTCATGGATGCATCCCTACAAATGTTGGTTAGATCGTCACCACTATACCCCTCAGTGCGCTTTGCCAGAGCATCTATATCCACATCCTTTGCAACCTGCATCACAAGCCCATACGACCATTCGATCAGCTTAGTTTGCCAGAAAAAGCTCAGAAGAGAACAGTAAAATGCAATAACTATCAAGCTTTTTAAACTCTACAAGAATCACAAGCCCAATCCTAAACTCGTGTCCATGCTGGTGGCCTACTTCTGAAAACTGAACAAAGCCTGTCATCAAAGGCTTCCTAAGGTTCCAAAAAAACAAAAGCAGAACACAAAGCATAAGCTCGGGGGGAAAACTACGTCAACGCCATTGTTACACCTAAATTGGTGAACATGAACGAAGATAAAGGAAAAGAAGGGCTAGTTTGAACCTCAATATCTTTAAGGTTGATCCGAATAAGTTCTCGCCGACCCTCTTCTACTGGCAGAGGAATGTAAATCCTCTTTTCGAGTCGCCTCCTGCATTAAGAACAAACCCAGATATTACATCAATCTACCATCTGTTCAGTTGAAGTATTAAAAACTTCACAAAAGTACTTCTCTTTTTCTTCTTAACACAAGGCACATCCTTAAGAAATCGAAAACACACACGTAACTTGATATATTCAATCTAGCAATGACTTTTTATGTAAATGCCTCTAACCTAAGTGCTTCGTCAATGTCCCAAGGAAAGTTTGTCGCTGCTAACACCATCACAATTTTCTTTTCACCATCCTCACTTGTACCATTCACACCATCCACTTGAACCAACAGCTCTGATTTCACTCGTCTCGATGATTCATGCTCTCCAGATGAACTGCATTCACAGATATATTAAACAACTTGGAATTATATCGTGTTCCCTCAATTGTAACCAGCACTGCAGCATGATAACTAACAGAAATTTCATAAAACAGTTTGAAAAGAGTAAACTAAAAAAACAAAGGCAGACAATCGACAGCAAAATCTAACCATCAGGATGGTACATGTGAACATCACTTGAAATATTCTCATTCCCAAAGGCAACAGTAAACCTTTCGAGGCAAAACACAGATATCAGACTTACCCACGGGCATTGCACAGCGAATCGATCTCATCAATGAATATTGTGCTAGGAGCGTAGGCACGGGCAAGATCAAACAAGACTCTCACCATGCGCTCACTCTCCCCTCGCCATTTGGAAGCCAGTGTTGCGGATGATACATTAAAGAAAGTGGTCCCGCACTCTGTTGCCACTGCTTTGGCTAGAAGTGTTTTACCTGCACACAAGTCAACATAAGGTCACAACCTAGAACTGTTGGCTCAAAAATAGAAGGTTTAAAAGTGTATCAGGAAACTTACCAGTACCGGGTGGACCGAACATCAACACTCCTTTCCACGGGCGCCGAATTCCCTGCACGCCCATTTTTGCCAATTAAGAACCAATTGAGCAATGAAAATAAGTATCCGGATACAAAATTTTGAATCATAAGATTATAATGTACGTCCCTGCAGAACCGACTTCAAGTCGAATCATCCAGAAAGAAGTGAGCACGCACAACAAATGACAGATTATACACAGTCTCAACAATAGGACAAGGAATGATTCAGAGTACGGTTTGGAACCTGGAAATATTCAGGCATCCAAAGTGGTAAAACCACAGCTTCCTCCAACAAACGCTTTGCTTCGGTGAGACCCGCAATATGCTCCCACCGAACACCAGGACTGCTTTCAAGAACATCCCTTTCCAACATAGCCGCGAGCTCAGTGTCCGGGCCTTCATATTTCCCTTTCCTATTGGGCATACCTCGTGGCACCTCCTCTTCCGGAGCTCCATTCTGCAGGAAGAATCGACCCGCACCAAATGCAACCCGACAATCCTTTAGTCCGAAAAGGGACTTCACAAGCCATTGTGAGCTGTAGTCGAAGCAAATCACACAATAACTGCAGATACTGAATTAAATCTCAATTAAGAACAGTAGCAAAAAGTTCAATGCATGCTTATCACTGTCATGTAGAGTAGCGATGACAAGAGCTATTTGAAAACAAGTAATCAAGTCCAATCATACCAATGATTCTCGTTTGCTGGGTGTCGAGCGGCCAGTGCTGCTAGTGCTTTTGCGAGGGACTGTGGTACCAGAAACGGAGGATCCCTTCGCACCCATCCCAGCTCCCTGACCAATGGTCTTAGACGAAGCTGATGGAGTTACCTTATTCCCTCGCCCCACCTGAGAAGCAGTCCTATCTCCTGCTCCTCTAGCGTAGGCAGCCATTCGCTTAGCTTGGGCAGCAGCTGCCATCTGACCTGCTTTAGTTGGCCGTCTGGTCCCATACTGTGAAGGAATGTCACGGCTGGGAGGTCTCCAAACGTCAGGATCGTCATTGGGATCCGATCTGGAACTATCCGATCGATTTGGGGGATGAGACACATATATTTCTTCGACAGGAAAGAAGGGTTCTCGTTCTTCCCTATGGCGTTCTTGTGTGTGGCGTAATGGGGGTGCAGATACCGTTATTTTCGGGGATGATGGCCGAGGATGACTACCAGGAGCATCCCTAAAGGCTTGCCTTTCGGTATCGATCTGCTTCACAATATTGAATTCCTCCATGAGATCTTTCTTGCATTTATTCCACTTAGTACGAAGATACGGATCGTCCACATTGCTTGAATGCCTGGGCCAACAAAGATGGGCGCAGAAGAATCATGTGTGATGTCAGCAACGAGTTAAAAAAATAAAAACAAGCGACTGAACAATCAAAGGAGAGTACTCCTGCTGAGGGAGAGCTATCATTCGTTCTACGATAAAACATGAAGCTGCGAAAACGATGACAAACTTCAATCTTCTCCTGGACGTATTCGAATGGCGCTTAATGCTTTCAGAAACTGGACCATACGACAGAATGAAAGATACAGATTCAGGCTTAAGAGCTGCTCGACTTTCTGAAAGGATGCCTTCAAAGATTTAAGGAGTATAAGCTACAGTAATACTACGTTTCAGTTCAAAAAAAAAAAAAAAAAAAAAGAGGCGTCTGTGATTAGGCAGTAATACCAAACTCCCGTAGGGATAGATTCTGATGCGATGCTAAAACCTATGCTCTTGTGAAAAGAGAAACTTTCCGCATTCGGTGATCGGCGCACCGACCATGACCCAAGAGAACTATACGAAAATCCCAAGGAAACCTCTCAAAGCGCATGATCAACCTCAGATGATATTAGGGCTTAGCTCTGCATGAGGACTATGAGATCTAAGGAGATGCAATACTCAATTCCAGTCATACACAGATCCATATCATCACCACCATGCTGCACATCATCCGATGAAGGAAGATGAGGAAGAGAGCACACTGGGGGGAAAAAAGAATGTAGTTCCTACTTGTTGATTTGCGCGAGCACTCCCTCAAAAAAAATGATAGCGGTATCATAGTTCCCTAACAATGCATACTCCCGCGCTAAAGTGAGATGCTCGCCTAGAGTATCTAAAGGCCCTCCCATACTGTTCTCGTCCCGCAATCACTTCTTAAGCCAAATCCGCCCCTGGGTAACCTCAGCAACAGCCCATCATATAGCCCCCTTCCAAAATCACCCTTCTGTCACTCTCCGCTGCTCCCACTGCAAACTCAATCATCACCTCTACCACGCTCCTCCTCCTCCTCCAAACGCCATCAAAGTACCACCTCCTCCCAACCAACTAAACACCCGCTCAATCCCCGAGCTCTTCTCCGCGCTCCCAAAACCCGCGTTGCTCCAAAACCAAGCACCGCAACGTCCAGGCGGAATTTGCGACTCAAAAGCTTCGGGGATGCATCAACCACTCCAGCACGTATCGCACTGCCAACAACTTGCAATCATGGAGCTAAAAAACAACCGCACTCAGCCGGGTCCCCTGTTCCACATTCGCTCCTGGATCCTGACCTCACGAAACCACAACTCCTCGAAATTCCAACCGGTGGCTTCAACCCAAAACCACAAAAACCTGCTGAGATCATCCACAAGTCATAAATTACAAGAATCCAACGCAGCCTGCAATCCTAAGCAGCTCATCGATCGGCGGAATGTAGCGATGGCGATGATGCCCTGGCGCGCGCGCATGTGTGCGAGAGTGTGTCTCTCTGAAAGACGGGCCCAGAATCGTAGATTGCATGTCGGGGTTTTCATAGATTTTTGGTGAGCCGTGGGGGATACGTATTTTTGAACACAGAAAACTGCGTGGGCAATGGCGCCATTCAGCGGAATCTTGTTTCTTACAAGACTCGTTCACATTGCGGAGCCCTTCGGTAGCTGAGTCCGAGCAAAAAACTCTAATTTGCTTCTATCCTAGGGTTAAATAAAAACTAAATGCCGGTTGTTCCATGGTAACATATTCGGAATTCTTATGAAAACTCTCATGGTAACATGTTTTCTTATGGTATCATCTGTATCCACTTAAGTATGTAGTTTGATTGATTTTGGCAATATTATTTGAATGTTGTTCTTCTTGAATTCTTTGACTTCTTGAAATGTTCAAATTTTGACTTGTTCATGTGTAACGTGATGGCGTGAGTGAGAATCAATGAATTAGTCATCAAATCCCATCATTCCTATATATATGTAATAATCTTATTGTGTATTGTGTGGTAATTAAAATTTATTCAAAAGACAAAATAAAGGTATTGTATTTTAAATAATTAATGTTTTATATTTTAATATGCAAAGAATGATGAAATAATATTTTTGAAATTATTTATCAATGAATTATTGAAAAAATTATTATCTTAGTTGTAACTACTTTTTTTTTCATTAGTTTCAAAAAAACAAATATTCAAATATTTATGGAATTTTTAAGTATGCAAAAATTTAATCAATAATTCATAAAAAACATTCTTAAAACTAAATTTGTAATATTTTTAATGAGATAATATAATTTAATAATAATAAAAGTATTATAAATTTTTATAATGTTAATAAGAACTGCTATATAATGGTAAGAGAATAATAATAACTATGTTACAAATAATTATTTTAAACTTATTTTTTAAATATTATTATTTTTTATAACTAAATTAGGTATATCATCTCAATAAAACAAATGTACCAACAACAATTTATAGAGTATGTGTCAAGGACAAGAACTCGATGAAAAAACAATTCAAATAAGTGAGCCTTCACTCAAAGAGAGGTAAAAAAATATATATAAACAAGTATATATATTGAAAGAGAAACTGGAATGGCTATTGCCAAAAGACAAGAAAACTAGAGACCCTTGAAACTAGACTAGAAGCAAGAAAGGAGTTGACAAGAGTGAAGAAGCCTTCACTCTTGTCTCTATATATACTATCTAACTAGGGGCTACGTGGCGATGTTCTATAGGACCTCCAATGTGTGTTGACTTTGTAGGACACATGCCTTGACTTACAAGGCAAGTTTTTCTATGTGTGGGCCACATAGTTAGCTTGATCTTCAAGCTAACAACATGTATGGCACATGGCCAACTTGTTGACCATGTTTCTAATCCAAAAAGTCAATTAAAGACACCTATGAAGTCAAAGCAGCATCTATGAAGCTTCTAGGAAGCTTCCATATTAAATACTATAGAATTAACTTACTTTTACCTACTTTTACTTATTTCTATCTATTTGTATATATAATTACTAGCTTATATGATTATGTCCGTGATAGTATGTCTAATATTAATCTATGAAGAAAATTATTTATGTAAATTTTGTACAATTTTTAATCTAGAAAATATTTAAAAAGAATAAAATAGATAAAAATTAAAAATAGTGATACATATGTCTATACAATTATATAGGATTTTAATTTTTATTTTAAAAAATAATTGTAAACATCAAATATAATACATATATCAACAATGTAATTTTAAATTTTTTTAATATAAAATTAAAATTAAAATCATATATTAATATGATTATTTAGTTTATATCTAACATTATATTAATTTTTAAATTATAAAAATAAATTTATAAATATATTCATATATAATAGTTTGGCATATAATATTACTTTTGATTTTTTTAATTGAATATTATATTTGCATAATTATCAAATATAAATATACATATATATATATATATATATATATATATTAAAGTGTTGGCTACAAAAACTTATGTATCAATGACAATGGTATATATCTTATCCCAAACATCTAAGATGCAATCTATCTATTTATATATTTATATGTCTAGTTATGCTCTTTCACACCACATTAATGTTTTGTATCACTTCTAGCAATCTCTATTGTTGGCTCTCATTACAATAGATATTTCCTTTTCTATAAATCATAATGCCAAAGGTGATGACTTTACATTATAAAATGCTTTACCTTACACCTACAATCTCAAGGGCTTATATAAGTTTTATGGTCTATTGAATACTCACAAAATACACACCTAATACTTTGTAGAAAGATAATAAAACATATACACCACTTATATTCTAAGAATACATTTTATTAGTAGTATTGAATTTCACTACTATTATGTCAAATTCTACTTGCACAAATTAATTCTACTATTACTAGGCCTTAATATAGGAGATAGAATATACTAAGAATTATAATTAAATAATTATGTGTTTTAGATGTCTACAAAATACAAGAATCAAATACAAGACCATTAGCTTTAAAATTTGTTTTTATTACTAATATGCTTTAGATTCTATCGTCACACACAATCAAGTATGAATTATCTATTTAACCTTGTTTAATTTTTTTTTCATAAATGTTATATTTGAAATTGAAACAAATTTATTGTTTGTTTATCTTTAAATATATAATAAAAAATATATATTCATATATATAGATATATTTAGTCTAAAAATATATAATTACTTTTATTAAAATTATTATAATTTATTATACATATTATACTAATAATTTAATAATAATTTAAATTTGAAATTATATCTTTATTAATACGATTTTAAAATTAAAATAAAATAGACAATAATTTATACATATATTAATAAAATATAGTATAAAATATGATATATTAAATGAAATAATAAAATATTTGATCCAAAATTTCATTTCATTGCATTTTTTTTCGATTGAAGTATTGACTATATTTTTTGTCAAATACATAAAGATAATTTGAAATTATAAAAAATATATAATATAATATAATATATATATATATATATATATATATATATATATAAAGAGAGAAAAATGTGCCTATCTATGCATGTAATACTATTCATGCATCCATCCAATTTGTATTATTTTTTATAATAATTCAATGACTTACTTTAATATTTAATTTTAAAAAAAGATAAGGGATTGTAGTACTTGTGTGTATATATATATATAGATGATACAAATAAAATAAATAGATCATTAGATTTTAAAAAGATGTCATACATATCCCTCAAGTATATAGAAATATCAAGAACATCCTTACATTCTTGATAATAATAAATGTATTTCTGGCATTTTTAATAATAGCAAATGTATCCTCAAATATGATTAGGTATCACCAATTTGACAAAGACGCATCAATCCTCATGGATTCCAATATATTTTATTTTTTTTTGTCTTTATACAAGATCCAAATTGCATGCAATTATGATATCACTTGTGGATAGATCTTAGCTCAATTTTTTAGTATTTTGCTTCACAAATTCTCAACATCTAAAAAATGTCTTAGAATGGTGTCATTGGATGAGGGAGTGAAAAATAATTATCACCATATTTATTTATTTTTTAAGAGTTATACCATATTTTGGTTTTCAAGGTTGCTAAGTAACTTGAGCAATTCAAGACTACCACATTTACTATAATTATCATCCTTGGCTCAAAGCACAATGCATTCAATCTAAGCAAAGGCTTTCCAAATTTTTATGACCCCCAAATTGTGAAGAATTTTGCAATTGAAGCCATCTGAGATAGTGGCAAGAATCTATATGCAGGGAGTTTTGGTGTACCACAATTCAATGCAGTTATTGCAAAGAACTTCAAGACAAAAATAGCCATCGATGTAAATCTAGAAATCCATGAAACTATTACATCAAGCTACAATGAGGCAATTACAGCCAATATTTTAGGTTTAGTTAACCCTAAAGACAAGATTGTTTTCTTCGAACCTTTTTACAATTCTTAGCAAGCAATTGCTTCCATGTCTAGTGTGATCTTAAAAACAATTATATTACATACTCCAAATTTTGCTATGCAAAAAGAGGAGCTTTGTGCAACATTTTCAAGCAAAACTTAGATAATTCTTGTGAATACACCTCACAATCCTACCAATAAGATGTTTCCTTCGCCTAAGATGGAACTCATTGCATCTTTATGCAAAAGAAACACAATACTTTTGTCTTTTGTGATGAGGTCTATAATAAGCTAGTCTTTAAATAAGAGCATGTGTCATAGGTTCCACTAAATGGCATGTATGAGATGATGGTGACAATGAATTTCTTGGATAAAACATTCTTTTTGATAAGATAGAAAATTAGATGGGTTGTGGCACTACATGTGACATGAAGAATCCGTTTGGTATATTCTTAATCTTTACAACTACAATGCCACTCCAATGGAAATCTCTAGAAGCATTGTGAGTACTTGATTTATTCTTTGCAGAGTTGATTAAAAGCTATAGCGCTAAGAAAGACATTCTTGTTGAAGGTTTGAAAAGTGTACAATTTGAGGTTTAAGAATCAAAAGGCACCTACTTCATCATAGTAGATCATATCTTTTATTGGATTTGATAATAATGTTGTTTCTTGCAAGTATTTGATTGACAAAGTTAGTATAGCAGCAATCTCATCTAGCATCTTTCACACAAACCTAGAAGATGGCAAGAATCATAAGAATTGTTAGAGCTTTGTGAGATTGATGATACCTTATCTTATTTGAGGGTATATTTGCTATTATCAAGAATGTAAGGATATTCTTGATATTTCAACATACTTGAGGGATACATATGATATTTTTCCATAGATTTTCATTATTGATTTTTGGATGTAATGCACTATAATTTTATATTGAATTTCCAAACTGTATTAATTATTTTGAATAATAATAAAATAATTGAAACCAAAATTGGAAAGATAATTTAAATTTAAATTTGATATTGTATCAATGTAATTTATAAAATGAATTTTATGAAAATAAAATAAAATTCTAAACTCTGAATATTGATTCTATATATATATTGTAAATCAGACATTTTGTTTTTAATTTGTGGCATATTTGATCAGCCAAACAATCAGCTTTCTATACCTATGTATTTTTCATATAGCTGTCATTTGAATTTATTTATTTATTTATTTTCAAAAATGATTTTGGTTATGATTTGATGTTTGTGGTAATTTATTCTAATAATATATATATATATATATATATGTATTTATATATATAGATTTTATTCTCACCTTAATTATTGCATTTTCTAATATTGTCATCATTTTTAAAATTTTATATTAGTAAAAATAAAATATTAAAATATAATAGAATATATAATATATATAAAATAATTATGTATTAGAATTATTCAATTATAATATATAATTTACTAAATCATAATAATTAATAATAATATAATATAAATTTTTATGGTAAAAAATAAAAAATAAAAAATTTGAGTGATGATAGAAATGAAGGTTTTCGTTTGTTTGAAGGGTTTGAGTTGGCCATGCTGCACATCAAAACCCTAAACTGGGCAGCGGTGCGGGATGGAAGAAACGTTGAAAGGATGAATGAAACTGGGCTCACATGATAGCACCAACTTAAATTAAAAAAAATGGGGGTTGTAACAAACCAAATGATTGACGTCGGAGGAGGAGGAGGCTTTATTTTTTTTCGTATTTTCGGGCGGAATCAACGAGGCGGGTTCAAACGCACTCCTCAAACTCCGCAATCAGACTTTGCGTGTGTGTGTGTGTTTATGCGGCGTTGCTATTGCACATCTCAAGCGAAGAGGAAGAAGCCACACTCCGCGGATTCTCTCAGTGCTCATTGGCGAGTGTTATGAACCCCCCTCGGAGACCTGGAACCACGTCTCCGAGGATACCCTTTGCATGGCTTAGGCGACGCTGGAGTAGTCCATTGCGGTCGAGTTCGACCTCAATCCACACGAATTGGTGACTGGACCGCGACGCATCGCGACCGATTCATTCATGGTCTCACCATAGTAAAGAACTGCGTGGGATTTCGACTTTGTGATTGTACTCATGAGCGCCACCCCTCCCGTTACCACTGGCATCCACGCCATTGAGATTGCAATCACCAGCGTAGATGAAATTTAATATCTTAGAAACGTTATTACCTTGTTGAAATAATCACAAAATAGAAAACATGGCAAGCAGAAAAAGATAGAATGGGATTTCTTAAGGATTGTTGAAAGATTGAGTTCTAGGGTGATGGAATTCTGCAGCAAAAGAGTGACGAACTCAGACTAACTCTACGGGATAACAAGAGGATCAAGATAGGCAAAAGGGAAGAATAATGATATGAAGCTGGCTAATGCAGCATCTGCAAAACATTGCTGGAAACAAGGATGGACCAATCATCGACGACAAAAGCGGGAGGACTCGCGAAGGACGATAGTTTGAGACTTGGCACACTTCTGCGGACAGTACTGTAAGACTTGGCAAGCCATCAGAATATTGGAGGAATACTGTGCTACGGGAATCTTCCGAAATATTAATTAAGGAATTGTAAGAGACGTCATCACGACAGCATTGTTTGCGCGCTGGACTCAGATTTGCAAGTTTCTCCTCTGTTGCAAGTCTTATAGTAATTATACAAATGCGAAAGAAAGGGCTGCGACTACTTGCGTTGCACCGAAGAAAAGTAATGTGGGTGGGATCATACGAGCTTTGGATTGATGCCCTGGCTGGTCTCATGACTGGGTCGCCATTATGCAACCATCATTCCAGTACAGTTTGGTGTAGACCATTTCTGATACACAAGAATAGACCTCTGGTCTTCATTCTTCCTTCCATCCATGCTGCTGCTGCTGTGACGCTGGTCGCATTTACAGTGTCACCGCTCTAGATCCTGCAGCAGCAACGCCACCACCACACCGACAATCTGCACTCGCATCACTTTCTCTGGGAATGTTTATGCCGCTTAACGCTCCCTCATCACCTCGTGCAGTGACACAATTCCGGGTGGATTTGGAGATGCTTGGTGCTCACGTTGCGGCAGATCTTGCTACTGGGAGTCGGATTTCTTTTGGTTGAGTTAGGGTAGTTGAGTGGATCACCTTGCGTCGAAGATTTGGAATTCGTGTTAGAGAGCAGTGATTCGGTTCGCGAGTCGGGTATTGGGTTTTGAGGAAATGGATTTGTGGGTTTCATAGCTGGGGGCGGTTATAATTCCGAGGTGTAGGGTTCGGATATTTTCCCTTGTCAGGGGTATGACTGAATGAATTGTTCTTTTCGCTACCGCAAATTTTAGTTGGTTTTCGAGAAAAGATAGGATCTGTTAAGCGAACCCTAGTTTGGCTCCTCTGTAGCAGTTCAAGGCTTGTTTACAAAGCTCTTTTTTCTCGAAAAAGATCAGAGGATTTTGCGTTCTTGATCAACACAGGAATTCAAAATGTCGCTCAACATGAAGTCTTTCACACAAGCGCTTGCTAAGGCCTCTGCGGTCATTGAGAAGACGGTGTCGAGCACCGTGCACGAGGTGACTGGACCCAAAGCGATGCAGGACTATGAGTTGTTAGAACAGGTGGGGTCCGGAGGTCCAGATTTAATTTGGAAGCTCTACGCGGGACGGCCTCGGAACAAGGCCACGCAGATGCACAATCCTGAAGTATGCGTTTGGGTTCTGGACAAGAAGGCACTTACAGATCTCAGACTTCGAGTTGGTATATCTAGGTAGTTATCAATTTGAACTCTCTCCGAAACAGTTCGAGCTGCAGCAAAACTTTCTTCGAGTTGTTTTTTTTCAAAGATTAGGGCTACTGTCAATGTTTGGGAGTACATCTTGTAATCTTTATTGTAAATGAACTTTTTTGATTGGGAAACAACTGATTGAAATCAAACGCGTATTTACAGTAATAGGTGGAATTTCAGTCTCGTGCTTTATTGTGCAATACGATGTTGATATAGTGGCTCACGAGTTCGGGCCGGTTGTGATTTACAGGGCTGCGGAGGAGGCATTTTTGGACTTGGTGCGGCAAGACGCTGCGCAGTTGATGCGCTTGCGACATCCAGGTGTAGTACGTGTAATACAAGCTCTGGATGAGAGCAAAACAACCATGGCCATGGTGACTGAACCAATCTTCGCTTCTGTTGCTAATGTATTGGGGCGACTTGACAACGTTGGAAAAGTCCCCAATGAGTTGAAAGACTTGGTAGGTACTTTTCTCACGGTTTATCGTGTCTCTGGGTATCCATGTGATTGTGTTTTCTATTAGGAGTTCTTAGAGTGATGCGTTATTGCTTAGGGAGTTATTCGTATTGCTAATTGCAAGCTTAATTCTCAGTATCTATATTTGGTTCATGCGACTGTGCTTAGAGGATGAACTTGGATGGTTTTGTGAGCGTACTTGCAGGAGCTAGGTCAACTCGAGATCAAACATGGTTTGTTGCAGCTGGCTGAGACACTGGGATTTCTGCATAACAATGCACGTCTTTCTCACCGAGGCATCTCACCAGAGGTGAAATTCAGTTCTTGTATTTGTGCTCTTCTTCTCTCTTCGGTTGCTTCCCGTCCTTGTTCAATTTTCCCATTATTCAGCAAGGATTTCGTCTCTTTTCTTTGGGAAGGGTTCTATGAACTAAATAATTGCAGTCATCAAATCAGTGTATCCAGCGTTACTGGTTGAATTTCATGTTTATTACTGTTTAGATTATTCTATCCCCCCTTTTAACAGGGATCCCACCATGTCAGTGTCCACATGTTGCTTTGAAGTGTTAGTTGGTCTTGATTATCAGTTTGAGGTCGTTGAGTTGCTTGAGAGTTTACGAGTTGCTGGAAAGCAGTAATACTTAGGGACGTCCAGTTGCAATCTACCCAATGGTCCTCAGTGATCACTTGCAATCCAGCTTGAAGTAAATGGGGCAATCTGTTGTTTTTCGCCTTGACAGTCTGTTTACATCACATCTCATGGAGCATGGAAGCTTGCTGGATTTGGATTTTCCATTAGTCTAGACCAGACTGGAGCTGATCCAACGGGGGGTCCTGTTTTTCATTTCCCGGTAACACTCTTAAATTCGTTTGGAACATCTTGCGTGGTTTCTATCTGTTCACATGATGATGCTGCTTATTAGGAATCTAGTTTCAACCTGGTAGTTTTACCTGAGCTGAAGCTTCCATGACAGTAATGTATACTATTTTCATCTTTTGTAGGTATCTAAGATATTCCTTACTCGACACCTTTACCGTAATCCTAATTGATTGAATTGAGCATCTATTATGCAGGATTATGATGTGGATGACGTAGTTTTGCCGTTGCAACCACCTCTTGATTATACAGCGCCCGAGTTGACACGTAAAGGAGCTGGTGGGCCTTTTGCATCGACAGACATCTTTAGCCTTGCTCTGCTTGCATTTCATCTACTATCCCGTCATTCACTCCTTAAGTGCAATAATAATCTGCAAACGGTATGGTGGTCTACCTTAACTTTCCAATGTGTAGGACCCTACGAACATTTTTGAAATCTTTGAAGTGTGATATTTATGGCTTTTTGCAAGATATGGTCTCTTTCATTCTCTTGCTAGAGATGGCAACTGTTCAGTCTGCAAAGCTGGTCAGTAGCTCCGCTTGTTATTTCTTGATTGTTCTCGAAAGCCCAGGTCTCAGCCTGTCTTTAGTTATTTTAAAGATTATGATATGCATATCTACCGTCACTTCATAAGTTGCTTTGAGTCATGAACTACGATTTGTACGTGGCAATAAGTTGACCCGTGTCTAGTTTGGTGCTGCAGTATTCAGGCAAGGCTTCATACCTTCCAAACGAAAGTTTCTCAAATGTACCTGCCGATATTGGTCAAGACTTGAGACGGATGCTCAGTTCGGATGTGCATTCCAGACCTAGCGCCCACGACTTTACAAGTAAACCTCTTCATTTAAAAAGTTATCAGAATATCATTAGCAATTCCTTGGTCTTAAAATCACAGTATTTATCTTTTGTGTCCGTTTGGTAGTTTTGTTGATGTATACTAAGGTTACCAAATTTGTCAAATTCGATTTGTCATATTTTTAGTGACTGTTGTACCCCTTGGTAGAGTCAAGTTGGTTGCCTTAGTACTGAACTGGATATTTTTTGTTCACCTAAGCTCCTACTGTTACGATGTTATCACTGTTTTGCTCTGAGGTCGACATGAAACATATTTTCTTAAATGAAGTCGCCTGCACAAACATTTACTTTCCATGATGTGCTTATTCATGAAGGCTGTGGAAATGGTTTTACAGCTTCTCCGTTCTTTCGGGATGACACTAGGCTGCGTGCATTGCGGTTCCTGGATCATATGCTGGTAAAAAATGTCATTCCCATTTGAACTGCAGATGACTTGGCGATAGGATAGTCTACAGATCATTAATGTCCTTTCCAATGGTCAGAACGTGATGGACAGTTGCCAATGATTTGACCGTACATTTAGAATTGCATGTAGAACTTTCAGTACTTCTCATAATCAAAGTAGGGACATGTGACGAGTATGCAGTAGGTGTAGTGCATGGCATTGACTGCGTGCACTTTTCTAGAACGCATTTGGATTTTGTCTTATTCCGTTGTTTGCAGTAAGTTTAGATTCAGCAGTGACTGGGTAAAGGAATTGGTATTCTATCACCTAGATCTCGATTGCATTTTTCCTATCCGAACACTGCATACCTGCTAATTAAGTTCTGTTCTAATATCAAGCCTCTATGGAACGTACAGGAAAGAGACAATATGCAAAAAACCCAGTTCTTGAAAGCTATGGCAGATATGTGGACCAACTTTGATGCCCGTGTGCTACGTTACAAGGTTCGTTATTATGGATGTGGAGAATGCTTTCCTTTTGATTACCTTCCACTTTTCGCACAACAGCTTGACTAAGAGGAAGCGACCATTTGACAGCTGGATGCTGCAGCTCACTTTTAATTTGGCAATGGGATGTTAATGGATATGTTTTAGAGTGGTGTCTGCCACGTGCATTTGCTAAATCTCTAATTTAGACGCGGCTCAATGTCTGGAATGAAGGTGCTGCCACCATTATGTGCTGAGCTTCGGAATGAAGTGATGCTGCCAATGGTGCTCCCGATGGTGCTCACTATTGCAGAATCGCAGGTGTGTGCTTATTTACGGCGTCCATGTGACAGAGTATCTATTCTGGATGTTCTGATTAGTGAATCTGATTTTCTTGTTTTGAATGGGATTTAGTGCATATTCAAATTTGTCTGTTATGGATCCTTAATCCCGCTAAACTAGCGTTTCCTCATGCTTGGTGATGTTTTGCAGGAAATGGTGGATTTTCAGTCTGCAACACTTCCAGCATTATTACCTGTTCTAGGAACTGCCACTGGAGATGCTTTGCTTTTGCTAGTTAAGCATGCAAGCCTCCTCATCAACAAGGTGCTTTTCTGCTGGATTCGGACAATTTACTCATTACATGTTCTTGAATTCGGATCCCACATCTATGTGCAATTTGTTTTACTAGTACTCTGAAACATAGTAGATATATTTCTCTCTAGGAAATTGAGTTGTTGAGAGTAACGTGGTGAGTTTTGTTCCCGAGCTTTGTACTGTATGTATTCGTGTTTGACATGACCCTAGCTCCCTCAATAAAAGTCCAATTTTGAACTTATTTTGGTGCCAATTCGTTTGCAGGCAGGACCAGATGCCTTGGCAGCTAATGTGGTACCCATGATTGTCCGTGCCTTTGAAGACCCTGATGCCCGAATGCAGGAGGAAGTTCTGAAGCGCACCTTGAACCTCACCAAGCAGCTCGATTTCACAGTTAGTGTGCTCTCCTTGCCTTATTGTTTGATCAATCTCTAATTAATCGGATTTTAAACTAATTTGTCGTAGGAGCAGCGATTATGTGGACGTGAGTATTTTTGTGCGTAGCTTATAATTTATTAATTACGCAACTGTCAAGAACAATGACAGTTGTCGACATCCTTTTTTCTTTGGCATTGTGCATGGTAAATGATTATCCCCATATTATGAAAGCGTCGAGTCCTCAAGTTTTGTGGGTTATTACTTCTGTGACGTAGTAATTGCTCTGGCTGCGATTATAAATGTGCTAACGTCGGATTACCTGTACAGGTTCTTAGGCAATCGATTTTACCCCGTGTTCATGGTCTTGCTCTCAAGACCACAATGGCAGCAGTATGTATCTTCCTTGCTTTTCCGATTTCCTGTTGGTGCAGTTAACGTGCAGCTTAATAGCAAAAAGTGTAGCTAGTGTTGTGCCCTATTATTCTGGTTTTGGGCATCATTCTTGCAGTCTGAGTCGTCTATTAGTAATGGAACTGGGGTGTTCACAACTTTTAATTGAGCAGGAGTATGGCACAGTGTGTTGCTGAATCTAGGGTGGATGTATTATAAGTTTATATTTAAATCGAATTGGGCTGATGCAGGTGCGAGTGAATGCGCTGCTATGTCTAGGCGAGGTTGTTCCACGCCTTGACAAAGGGGCTATACAAGAAATTTTACAAACTTTGCAGCGCTGCACTGCTGTCGACCATTCTGCTCCTACTTTAATGTGTTCTCTAGGAGTCGCATCTGCTATTCACAAACAGGTTAACTATACTATCATCCATGTTTGAACAGTATGTCTTGTCTGCATTGAGTTGAAAGTCATGAATTAAACGTCACAACTGACTTGGTGTTGTGTTGCAACATCAGATGGGTGTGGAATATGCTGCAGAGCACTTGCTTCCACTTCTTTGCCCTCTGCTCACTGCTCAGCAGCTAAACCTTCAACAATTTGCAAAGTATATGCATTTCGTGAAAGAAGTTCTCAGGTAAAATTGGCAATCGTTTGGTTCTGTTCTCCCTTCAATTGTGTGGAAAATATGGTTGTTCTGGCAAACGATAGTGTAAGACGTGGACCATGTTTAAATTGCAGGAAAATAGAGGAGAAGCGAGGTGTTGAAGTCAATGGGGTGGAGCCAGTTTCTCTAGACATGAAGACGATGGCGCTTACTGGTCCTGCAAAAGCCAATGTTTCGGCAACAGGGAACGGTACAGACAACAACAGTTCATGGGACGCTGACTGGACTGCTCCTAAGAAGACACCCACCAACACTGCACTTGACAATAGTAGCTTGTTTCCTCAAAAAGCTTCCCCTGCAGCTCCAAGTGCGGCGCCAGCTCCGCCCCCTCAATCTTCCTTGCAACAACCTGATTTGTCATTTGAGTGGCCTCCGCCTGCGTCCACTGCTAATCAGGCCACCAAGGCTCCCAGCTCTCCTTACGCTGGTGGAATAGGTTCTGTCTTCAGCAACGCAAATCTGAGTTCTTCAAATAACTTTCAAACTACAGCAAACACTCAAGCTAGTGGCGACAATGATCCATTCTCTACTTGGGCACCACGAGCATCTTCAAATTCGAGCAATACATCTATACAGCCCAGTTGGAATGGTGGTTCCATTTCTTCAAATACTCAAAGCCTTGGCAACCTTAAGACAAGAACAGGGAGTTCAAAATCTATGTTGAATGCAAATGATTGGACGATGCCTTCGGCTCAGCAGAGTCCGCAAAAGGATACAAATGATTTTGGCGACTTTTTCAGCTCTCCTGGACGTCAAGAGGCCCCATTAAAACTGGCTCCTCCTCCTCCAACTGCGGGCTTAGGGAAAGGGAGAGGGAGAAACCCTATCCGTGGGCCACAGGTCAGGCACACAAAAACTAATACAAGTGATCAACCTCCCTTGCTGGATCTGCTATAATAGCTCTAGTGGACAGAACTTAGAATTTGTAAACTCGTGGTTAGGCTAATATCTTAGTCATTCTTGAGAGGCATGCAGTAGAGGTAGTCTCGAATGATAATAAGCTTCATTGTTGCAGCCCGCTCCTTCCCTTTTAGTCTCCGAAAAGTCTTGTTAAGACATTAGCAGGGAAGTTTTTGTACAAAGAGTGTAGAAGGTATTGTTGGGCTTTCTTGCTTACAATTACGCTTAGTGGCGTCACTTTAGTTACGGATGTGTCACTATTTATTACATTAGAACATTCTTCGTTCGTAGTTATGAAGGATCAACAGGTCCAGCTAATCGCATAATTGTGTGGGACTTGGAGAGTCCCGTGTATTTTGGCTATCTGGCACCTTGAAGTAATGCGAGTTGTTTTCAGTATCAGTCAATCTCTATTGCACCTCTCAACTAACCGTGTGTTAGGTGTCAATCACCGTAACAATTTGCTGATGGAGTAAACATGGAGCCGACTTTGGCACAGAAACTTTGCAAATAGTGCAGATTTATTGATTGTACCGGGTGTACTTTCAAGAAGTTAAGTGGATAGTTTTCTGATCATGGGATTGTTTGCCATATGCATGATTAATCAACATAGCACCACAAGCTCGTAGACATATTATTGTATCAAGCAGTCTCTCAAAAGTCATCGATTTGCTTGGTAAATATTATAGCAGCGAATGTCCTTTCCCTGGCATTACTTCATCGAACTCGGAGCTTAGCTCTGGGTGCTGAATGTGATCATTTTCATGTATTCAAAGAATTATAATCTGAGAGTGCTTCGTTGTCTGGTTTCATAATGAATCTCTGAAGATGCAAGTGAACAACGAAACACCCACAAGAATTGTAATCAAAATTTGATTTCTGGTTTCAAATTCCTGAACGCACTAGCACTGGTGCCCTAGACATGATCAATGGCGAACACACCTAACTTGTGGTCATCTTGAAAGAACACTCTGATCGCTTCTGCTGAAGGCACCTAAACTGGGTACCACACAGCTTACATGCAAGGTAGTCTTTCAAATGAAGCAATAGAAGTAACGGAGGACTCTGAAGGCTTACATGGCGGAGTATGCGCCGCAAGAAATTCACCAAATTGAAGTCTAGATTGGTTACTCCAGTGATTCCTTGATGACGAAATTAAGTGTGATGCATTATCTGCAAAAAAGATGAGAGCGTATCAAATGCAGGATTCATGACACTACTGTGAATTTCGAGTTCTAAGTGAGCCACGAGAGCATGGGAAGAGTACCACTGGTAAGTGCATACGATGAGGAGATGTCTGGCTATGTCCTGCTAAATCTTTTTGACATTTTTGCCAAGGGTGCGGAAGGGGTGTAGATGCTAGAGCGATCAGGTGATTGTATCCACGCCATCACTGTAAACAAGTAAATAAACATAAATAAAAAGTTTAAATATCAATCTCTACAGAAAAACGCCAGATTATCCAAGGTATACAACACGGATAGATTTGACGAAAGGACGTGTTTTCCCGGACATGTGCCACACAACCCTAGGGCAGATGGATGAAAGATCGTTGTTTGAGCACAATTTTAGAGCTCACAGCTAAAGGGTGTTCACTCCGGAAACGAGGCAGTGCGTCGCATATTGCCAGTCAAGTATGACAGTTCCCATCAGATGAAGACTGGCTGTCATGAAGGATGGACTGTGTTTCCCTGATAAGCAAGTAATCTTGAATCACAAGTAAACATTTATCCCTCCATGCTGATCTATTACACCAAGCGTGCGGATGTTATGAATGTGTTGAAATTGTCGATACTTGGTGACACTTTCAATCTTTTTCTTTTTCTACTTTGATTTGTTTGTTAATTACTAAACATAAATAAAATAATCTTCGTCATTGAGAATGAGTTCCGGATGTTTTGAAACACCATGATATGTACCAGTGTTCTGCCTAGATCAAATTCTTACGGAGTGACTTCAAAGCCTAAAAAAATTACCTAAATTGACTCTGGTTGGCTACCGCCCAGCATCCTTCGACGCTCCTCGTACGTTGCTTTAAAGATATACCAACGTGAACCACAGAATTAGGACTCATGCTCTTACAAAACATAGAAACACAAAAACATGAGCTCAGGGTGAATTACCAGGTGAATATTGTGCTTACGTTCTGTGGGCCGTTTCAGCATGGGAACGTGTAGACCTTTCCTGGACTGTGAATCTCCTGGTTGTGTGGGTTTCTTTGCTGCACAATATACTAGTGGAACAAAGTAAACCAACCTTATTAGCATCAGCAATATTCCAAGCATATTCAAATCGCACAAGTAATTTTAAAATCGGCATAACAGATGAAATTCACCTAGAAATCATACTATGACTACTGACGATATCTAACCTGGAGATGGAAGCTCGAGTAATCCCTGCAGAAGAAGCGACGAATTCACAATAGAGGTCTGTAACAAAGACTCCAGGTGCAGACGAAGGCGTTTCACGGCATCTGCAACATTAATACGAGATAAAGCAACAGCGTTACTCATTTCTAAGTCGTTAAAAAATGAGCCCCTTCTCCAGTGCAATACTTGCAGAAAATGAACAAAATGAACACAACTGGGCACATAGACGAAACTGTAACATTCACGTCTATCTTTGTACTTCGATAAAAATAGTCCTGCATATAAATACCAGGATGACAACGAAACGAAAGGCCTTGATATCCACAATGGAAAAGAAGAAGAGGCGTTTCAGACGCCATAATGTACTGTGGCTTTCTCACAATTTTTTTTACATCGAGCAACTCTTCTACAATCTGCATAACACACAATGTGCCTCACATATCAGACTAACCTACCAATACGGGCACGTTTATACCCTTTACAGAGAACTTCATGTAATCAGCTTCATTCAGCAAAGGTAGCACGAAAGTGACATTGCTGCGACCCCAGTGCATTATTACATCCGCAGCTTGTGATTTAACTTACTGTTGGCTTCTCGTGACCAGCGCCCACCATGAATAGAACTGCAGCCATACAGCGAACTTGATGCCAAAGAAATGCAGTGCCTTTGACGTTCATTATCCATACGGATTTCCCACCCCATCTGAATGCATTCAACGTGGTCAGTCGAGGTTGAGATTAATAACTAATATGAAGGACAAAATTATGCTCAGTTAATCTTTGCTGCTGCAATGAGTCAAAACGCAATGAACATTATGGTTTATATCTCCATACGATGGTTGTGAAGGAAACAAGAAAGAGAGAAATCCCAAACTCCAGTGGAACGTCATAACAGTTCAACTAGTCATAGGTCATGTTAGAAAGTCATTTCATTCCTGTGCGACTAGTTAACCACAATTGAGAGCAGATGTTGCTTACTTTTCATTTGAAGGTATTATGTCAAAATGGGTTATCGTACGCATGTAGTTATGTACGTTGGCGGCGTCCATCTTGCAGAAATTCGTGAAGTCATGTTCTCCTTCAAATTGCTTACAAGCAAACTTCATCACCTGAACCGACAAGAAAGTGTAAGTCTAATCAAACATTCTGGTTATGATAAAATTGTTGACCCTGGTAAACAGCATAGCTAATTAAAAAAAATAAGGTGACATCAAGCAAGAAAAAACATTATATTGACGATTGAAAGCATAGATTAGCGTCCATACATCAATATTCAGACCATCGTCGATGAAGAAATACTTGTATTCACGATACATACAACTGAATCTGAACCCTCCATGTACCGAAGAAAACATATGTTATAAAATTAACATAGGCATTGACATTTGAAAACAAGTATACAGAATTCTGTGAAAACACTACTATACCAGAAGGTAAGATGAGAGATTTGGGATCTCAATTATGAAACAATCCGGTATCTTTCATTTAACATAAAGAATCAACTTGATCACAATCACCAAAGATAAGTGAGTTACACGAAACCTCATACACCCACATAATTAAAATAAAGATGAGTCTTGATTGGAGTATTCAGACATTGCTAGAATATCAGTACTTAAAACGGTGGACAAGTTCAGATCAAAATACCTGGCATTAAACCCTGGTGGAACAGGGCACCAACCAAGCACTCGTATATCTTCTGGAAGTGCCCTATTCAAGATTCCGACGTAGTCATATTCGTCTTCATCTGCTATACCGACACAATACACACAAAAAAATAAGCGGTAGGATAAACAACACCATGTCTAAGATCATGAGTATCTGAAAGAACATTTGCGAGAGTTGGGTTGAAATACATGCAGTTCTGGCGAATTGCTCCTCTTCTTTACGACTTGCTCGAGCCATAGCAACTCTGTCTCCAGAATGATCTATGCATGACAAATCCATAACAAATCCAGAATTCTTGGTGAACGAGCCATCTTCTCCTTCAGGAACACCTTGAGCACTAATCGAGCTCTTTGAATTGAGCTCTTCTTCAGCATCTCCAGTAGACACAATATTTTCTTGACGCCGTGGTTGAATTTTTGATCGAAGATACAATGCAACGACCTACAAAATGTTATCAATTGATTAACCCAGTCAATCAGTAATTTAAAGTAGGATATTGATGAACTATAAGGCACACATGATTGCACAAAGCAACCCACCTTATTGCACGTAAGTAACGGACTAACGGCCTCGTCCTCAAAGATGCTGTTTGCATCAAGATTGAAAACCATGACGCAGAAATGACAACGAGGGTGAGCAACAAAGAGTCATAACGGAGCACAATAATCAGGAGGAAACCGCTCAAATTCATCCCAATCTATTCTACTCAAATAAACCAAGACGTTTGGGAATAATGGGATAATTACCCAGATGATGAGTCGCAAGTATCAGACCTGGCCAACGGCAGACACCCCTTTATCCGTGCGCCCACATCTTGTATACTTTGCTTCTGCTGCAGTCCCAGTAATCATTCGTGTCCTATGAAGCGCGGCAAAAAGTTCTGTCTGAAGCACAAAAAACACCAGAGAAACTTGTTTACGAAATACTCCTATGCCTACACGGTGTAACTCTCTGCAATACCCACATCTTACGCGGCGGTCGGCAAAGATACATTCACGAACTGTGTGAAAACTAAAGGGTAATGAACTGGCGAGCATACAAAATACAACACAATCAGAAATTGGTCAATAACCAACTTGACCACCAATCAGACTGTTCTGCACCTCAACTGTGTTTGGCGAACCAGCCTGCGATGCAAATCCTTGATACCTACACACCATACACATGGATCAAATCTGCATCACCTAACAATTGTTACAAGGTGTCTACAAAGTAGTTTCGCATTCTGAACAGGCACACCAGGTGTTTCTTACAGCTAGATAAAAGTTTTTAAAATCCAAACATTTTAATAAATTCAATCCCTAGTGATATGCAAGAGTAACAGCATACATAACATACCCGGTGCCCAGATACATCACTTTCAGTGCTACGTGACGAGAGCAATAATGGGACATGCTTTTTTCCATGGCATCTGCATCATGCATGCCATCAGAAAATTTCAATAAATAATAAAAAATGAAACAAGTAAACAAAAGGACCTTCAAATGTTTAATTTCATCCGAAATGTCACTCAAAAAAGACTGTACTATGCAACATGCGGATGCTGTTAAACGAATGAAGGTTCAAGATTCAGGACTTAAGTGGAAAACGCAACACATACTTCTTTTCTTATTCCGTTTTCCTTTTACTTTAGGAAGTTTGCTCTCTGTGGACGGGATGTCAGAAACTGGATTCTCAGACAGACACTTCAAACCAAGAACCCTCTTCACTTGCTGAGCAGCATCCTCTGACCTTTCAGGCGTCTGCAACAATGATTCGCTCGCAAAAATCCCTTCACGTCCAGGCTGGAGCACATTGAAGAAGCAAACCACAGGCTTAACTCTTGGATCATGAACTTAACAATAGGTCATTTTGTACGCTTCGGAAGTGGTTCCGAAGTCGATCAAATGGTGATAATGAATCTCTACATCATGAGGTTCAGCGTCCTCAGCAAATGTCAGCACTCATACTAAATTACCAATTCAAATGAAGGACAAATCCCCATCTCAGCATGAGCAAAGATTATAGCAGAAATAGAGACCTTTGTCTTGAGACCACTCTCGAATTCAGCTAAACGGGAACTCAATATTCCATTTTCCTTCCTGAGAATCTGCACGAAGGAGCACCAGTAGTAAGAAACAAGAGTACATGAACATTCGCATTGAGTAAAGTCAGACGCTCGACAAGTCAGCCAACCAAACCAGAACGGGCACGACCTCACACGCTGTGAACACGAACCCTACAAACGCATCGAGCCAGGATTCTACTCATCGAAGTTGAAATTCTATCCTTAAACCCTAAGCCCTGAACCCCAGTCTCTTCGAAAACAGCAAAGGTTCAGCCACGAGCCAACCCGTCTGGCGTTCCCACGAGGAAAACCTGGACGAGAAGACTAAAACCAGGTTCATAATCTCCTCGGGCAGAAACAGCAAATAAAAACTCATGAAATAATCACAACGGAAATCTAAAGGACCGACAAATTCATGCTAAAAGGCTCAATGCTATCCAAATTGTAGCACGAGCGAGCGAGAGAAGAAGATACCTCATTCTGTCCCCGCAATTCGGAAACGAGAGCCTCGAGCTCCGCCACCTTGGGCCTCAAATCCATCTCCGCTCGAGGCTTCTCCAGCGACGTCGGCATCGTTGCAGCGAAACTAGGGCAAATGAGGTATCTGCGAAAGCGCAATTTCACATCTCAGCACATCGTCTCATTGCAAATGCTTCACTTCACTCTCGCTTCGCTTCACATCGGCATCGTCAATCTCGAGCACAAATTGGCGTCGCGAGCGTCGGGGATTCGGCTTCGGCGATAGCTTCGTCTTCCAGGGAGGACGCCATCGCGCGGAGGCTGCAATGTCTCGCTCTCATATCTCGATGTGAAAAGCTCACCCTTCGTTGCTTCCTTCATCGACTTTTTGAAAAAGTGAATTCTTGTATGGAAAGTCACCAAGACATACGTCTTCTTCTCTTTTCTTTTTTCAAAATGGTTTTAAAATTTTATTAGAAATTGCCATTTGCAAGATAGCATTGTAGACAAGAGGTTCACTTATAAGATGCAATTTCACTTACCTTTTGTAAGTTCAAAATAATCTTATCTTGAATTAGTTAAAGTCCCTTGTATTGATGAGTAAGTTTTGATTCCTAAGAATTGGGCTAGGACACATTTATTCTTGGACTAGGACTTGGAATATAATAAATAAGTTTTTATTTTTTATCCAATTGGAGATTTTAGACAAGTTCATTTGATTTTGATTTTGATTTTTCTTCTTTCTTGATTGCTTATCCATCTACTTAATTTGAGAGCACCTATAGACTAAAAGGAAGAGAATTTCTAAGAACCATCCACCACTACAAAGAGAAATTCAAGAAGTTAAGGAAAAAATGATTAATAAAAGTGCTTTAAAACTAAATCTATAATATCTAACTTCTAACAACACTACTTGCAAGATCCATCCTAAAGACTTCATAGGTCTATTAAAGAGTTTATGCTAGCTACAATAGCTTTTACAATTGATAAATTTCAATTAGAATTTTATATAGTTTTTATTATATAGAAAGAATTTAATATATATATATATATATATATATATATATATATATTATCTTAGGATATTAGATGAGCAATGAATAAGCAAATTCTTCTAAAAATAACAAATTCCTATATGACATTCATCTATAATATAAGTCTAGAAGTAGTTCTATCAAATCCTAAATATCATATAAATAACTTCTTCTTTCAATATTCTTTATTTTCTTCTCTATACTTGTAATGGTTGCATATCTTCTTCTTGTCTTATTTGTATGTATAATATTTTTTTTCTTACATCTTAGTTTATTTTCTATTTTTTGTATAATTTTTCTTTCTATGTGACATAAAACCATTGATGTTTCTCTAATAACATCATATATACACCTTCTTCTTCTAATAGATGTTTCTATTATTTAAGTAATTAAAAATAAATAAAAATAAACAAAAGTAAATAAAATATGTTCAAATAATATCTTCTTTAGAAAACTTTAAAGAAGTTTTTTATATATAGATTAGATCTTTAGACATATATATACCAAATTTGCATGTAGATTGTTATTAACTTTCCAAAGAATCAAGAACAAATGTTAATAGAATTGTGGCACAAAAAATATTCAAAATATTCAAAATTTTCAAAATCTTCAAATTAAATTATTTTCTTGTATAGATAATGTTTTTTTTTTTTTTTTTTTTTTTTTTTTTTTTTTTTTGCTACATATATATCATGATTTGTAGCAATATTTAGAATCTATTACATCTTTAAATTAGAGATTCTGCCATAGCAGACTTTACAGCACCTACGCAAGTATTGGCTTGGACAAAGACACTTAAGATTATGAGAGCCACTATTTTCTTTTTTAGCCTAATTTTGCAACACAATTTGTCTCTTAATACTCTTGTACCTATTGACAAAGATGTCTTGACCATGTTTTGAATTGTATTGATTAAGTTTACATTTATAAAGCATCTTTTATGTTTGGAGCTCCAAAAGTGATTCAACATTAATCTTATAGAATTAGCAATGGTAGTAACCAAGATTTAGATTCTATTTGAGGATTACATCTTGCTGATTTTTAATAGGGCAAAAGCAGTGACAATAAACCTATAACAAAGTCTCTTCTATTTTGATACACATTTCATCTATCTACACCCTTAGCAACCTTAATTTGATCTCGAGGTGCCAAAAGGCATTAAAATCTCCTTGTAGGTTTGCTTTTAAAAACATGATTATATCTACTATCAAGTTCTACTTGCAGTTTTCTTTGAAGTTAGAAAAGTTATATATGAGAGAAAATAAGAGGATAATTTGAAGAAATCCTTTACTCCTTGAATTCATGTATTAGTTGGTGATGTCAAAATCATTCTTTTATCAATCATCCTATCAATTCTTAAAACATAAAAAAATTAAAAAAAATTTAGAATACAAAAGCATTCTTAGACAATGTAAGAATTTTCTAGAATTAAAAGTCAAAAGAAATCAATGCATCTAAATCAAATGCAAGAAAAAAGAAAAAAGAAAAAAGAAAAACTGACTATTGGTACGAAGACCATAAGTAATTTGAATACTATCAAGCCTTTCTATGCACCAATACCATCCTTTGATGTGATCAAGGTCAAGGACCATGAAAAGATTCTTTCCATCTTTTCAATTTATAATATAAAATCAAAATCTACAGCAGTATTAAAAGGTGAGGTAATTACAATCATAGATATTTTGATATTGTATAGTGGCGACGTGCTCTACACAAAGCCTAATTTTTTCTTAACATTCATAAACGCTGAAGATTGACAGATTATTGGCCAAAATAAAAAGGCAATGAAATTTCTTCTAAAAAACATGTTGTTTCTACTGGCACCATCATCAAGTAAGAAGTGGCCAATTGTATCCAACCTACTCAAAGTATAAGTTTATGAACTTTTATATTTCTAAGGCACTTCATATATATAAAAAAAATTACTACAATTTTGGTCAATTATACACACAACATCCATAGATTCAAAACCATAATTTTTGAGCTACATCTAAAGCAAATTCTAAGGCACCTATATTTCATTGCCATCAAATATAATGCAAAAATTTAAGAGTTTCTAAGAGCTCTACTAGAAGCAATTCTAAATATACATTATATTCAACTTTGGATCAAGGAATAAAACTTTAACTAATAGATAATGAAAAATAATTCATTGAGTCAACAAATGGCAAATTCTATACAAAAGCTTTTCTATATGTTATGTACTAGACGTCATAGAGGTGACTTTAGATGAGACTTACTTTATTTTAATGAAATACAATTCAAATAGATAGATACAAATAATTTATATATATATATATATATATATGTTAAAAAAAAAAACTTTGAAATCACAACACATAGCATTAGCAAAGTTGCTCACAAAGAAAATATAAAATAAGATAAGATCTTATTTCCAACACTTATTATTTATAGGTGGTGGCTACTACTCATCATTTGATGATTACATCCATCCAACATTCTATCAAGTCTATTTATTAATATCTTATCTATTATAAAAATACATCTTTAATATATTCTTTAAATCCTTTAGATCCTTTACTTGTTTATTTTCCTTATTTCTTGGCCTTTTCATATACTAAGAGCAACGTACCTAAAATAATATCTTCTACAATGTAACTTATTCTATTTTTATTTTTATTTACTTATTTTAATACTTCTATTTTATTATTAATCAAAGGCTTTCAATCTTAATGGCTTTGTCAATATGTGATGATTATCCTTTACTAATGTCTTTGTCAACAAATCAACAAGCATGTCATCCATTGCATAATACTTCATATCAATCATTCCTATTTCAATCTTCTTTTTTATGAAGTGATGTTGAATATCAATGTATTTGATCCTTGAATGATACTTTAAATTCTTTGCAAATACAAGATATCCTTGATTGTCACTCTCCATTGTAATTGCTTCTATTTGTATAATTCTAATGTCGTCCAAAAATTATTTTTGCCATATTGCCTTTATTACACCATGGCTTGTTGCCATGTATTCTACCTCCATTATTGATCTTATAATTATTGGTTGTAGCTTGCAATTCCATGAAATAACTCCCACTCCAATAAAGAATACATATTCTATTGTTGATCTTCTATCATTTGTATTTTGAGCCCAATCAATATCACAATAATCATACAAAGTAATGTTATCACCTCCAAGGCGTAATTTGAAATACAAAATACCTTTTAAATACCTCATGATCTTTTTGGTGGTTGCCCAATAGATTGGTCCAGCCTTTAATATGTAATGGCTCACAACACTCACCACATGTACAAGATCTATTCTTATATAAAATATTGTATGTATAAGTGAGCATACTAATGCCTTGTATACAATACCTTGTATTTCACCTACAACTTCAACAAATTCTTCATCTGTGAGCTTCATTAATTTTAAATTGGCATCTAAAGATGTTCCAATAGACTTGCACTTATCCATGTTGAATCGTTTCAATACCTCTTCAATGTACTTGCTTTAACTCATTATAATTGTTGTCTTAATATAATTTCTCATAAATTCTACTCCTAAAAAATAATGTAGCTCCCTCAAATCACTCATCTTATATTTCTTTTCTAATTTTACCTTCAATCAATCCATTGTCTTCAAGGTATTGGTTAAGATGATCAAATCATTAATATAAAAGATGAGAATTAATTTGAACTCATTTGATTGCATCACATATATATATTGATCAGTCTTATTTCTTTCAAAGCCTTTATTAATTAAAAATATATCAATATATTGATATCATACAATTGGTGATTATTTGAGCCTATGTAAGGATTTTTTCAACTTACAAATAAGATATTGTTTGCCTTTTTTAACAAATAATTGAAGTAAATCCATGTAGATGTTTTCTTCCAACCTTCCATTTAAAAAAGTTGCCTTCACATCCATTTGATTCATGTCAAAATTCATTACTGCCTCAATTGCCACAATAATTCTAATAGTGTTAAATTTAGCCGCAAGAACAAATGTGTCATTGAAATCAACACCAATAACCTGTAAGTAGCTTATGACAACCAATCTAACCTTGTATCTAATACCATTATTCATTGCATCCTTCTTGATTCTAAACACCTACTTAGAACTAATTAAAAGTCAATTTGGTAGAATTTGAGTCATCTTCTATGTTCATTATCCATAAATAATTTGTATTCTTTTTTTATAGCATTCTTTGACTTTATAGCATCAATAGACTTCATTATATCACAAAAATTCAATAGATCAATAAGAAGTCTATACTAGCATGTTTTTCACTTATTTGAAGAAAGATATGGTTTTTCCACTATTCACCAAGTTTTT